CGGAGCGGCCCCACGGGTGCGAGCAGTGCGGGAAGGCCTTCGCGCAGGCGGGCGCCCTGGCCAAGCACCGCCGGGTCCACACGGGGGAGAAGCCCTACCGCTGCCCCATCTGCACCAAGGCCTTTGCTCTCTCCTCGGGGCTGGTCCTCCACAAGCGCACCCACACCGGGGAGCGGCCCCATCCCTGCCCGCTCTGCGGCAAGGCCTTCATCTCCTCATCGCACCTCACCCTCCACCTCCGCTCCCACACAGGTGAGCGGAAGTACCAGTGCCCCATCTGCGGGAAGCTCTTCCTCCAGTCCTCCCACCTGGTGCGCCACAAAGCAATCCACACTGGTGAGAGGCCCTTCAAGTGTGAGGACTGTGGCAAACTCTTTGGGCGCGCTTCACACCTCACCACCCACCGCCGTGTGCACACAGGCGAGAGGCCTTTCAAGTGCCTGCAGTGCGAGAAGGCCTTCACGCAGAAGGCTGGGCTGGTCCTCCATGTCCGCCTGCACACTGGGGAACGGCCCTACAAGTGTGACAAGTGTGGGAAGAACTTCCGGTCCTCCGCCCACCTCATGTCACACCAGCTTCTTGAGTCAGGCGAGAGGAACTTCAAGTGCTCTACCTGTGGGAAGGCCTTCAAGCAGTCATCATCCCTCAAGCAGCACCTGAAGACCCACGAGGCACACGAACTTCACTGCTGCTTGGTCTGCAGCCGAGCCTTTTCCAGGTCTTCTTACCTCCAGCTTCACATGAGAACACACAGTGGGGAGCGACCATACCACTGTTTACTTTGCAACCGGACATATGCCAAAATTTCCACCTTTGAAAAACATTGTAAAAAGCACCAGCAGGATGAAGAGAGGTCTGATGCTAAGCCCAGGCCAGTGACCACCAGGGCAAAAGCACTGGCTGAAAAGAAAAAGCAGGAGCAGAAAGAGTGGCATCAAGATGACAGCCTCAAGCAACCTCACCAGGCTGACCCAGAGCAGCAGCAGCAGCAGCAGGTGGAAGGGCTGTAAAAGTCACTAAAACAAGAACTGTTCCTGGTCCTCCACAACATGGCTCATGGGAGATAGAGTGTCTGGTTTAATTTTTGTCAAAAGAAAATGACATACTGCGCCAGCATTACTCCAGAGTGTGTTTCCAAATGGAATTCTTTCTCTGACAAAAGGTTCAATGCAAATGCTTCTGCAGGGCACAGCAAATACATAAAAGTCTGCTGAGGTTCCCTGCAGTTGGTGTGGTATACAGAATGCTCCATCATCACTGGGGGATTCCACCCCATTTGTGGGCCCCAGTGGTTTTGTTTCATGTCAGCAGCATTTTCTAACACAGACTTCCAGGGATTCCTGACCAAAGCGCCTGCTTTTACCCAGACTGAAAGAGGGATGCTTCTTTGTATGCAGAAATAAAGTTGTAGCCTCTTAAAAGAAGACAAAGTTTTTGTTTGAAGAGGCAAGAAAGGTGGTACACCTACTGAAAACAGATTTGTACCAACAGTGGCTTTAGGAACCAAGCAGGAATTTATTCTGCAAAATGCAATTTGTTTTTAAAAGCACTGTATGTAGTCAGAAGGTAGCATCTTGAACCTTTTCCAGTTTTCTCACTGTTAATTACAACAAGGCATTGTACTTAGCATTCAGATAATGCTGTGTATGAAGTGTGTTTAAAGCATGGCAGTTTTTATTACCAACGTGACTTAACTCATCTTTCTTAAAACTAATGAAGACAGGTGTCAAAAATCTGTAATTCATCTTGAATGAGTTTAACATTTGAAATACCAGCTTGTAGTGAAGGTACAACAGTGGTTTTGGGGTTTTTTTTTATACCTGAGCTTTCGGGAATGTAAAAGGGAATTCCAAGCCCAATCTCCTTCTGAATTAACAAATTGCTGTAGTTGGCTTACTGGCCAGTCATCATGCTGAGGGAATGAGCCAAGATGCCACAAAAGTGTTGCTGAAGCGGAATGGTTCAGATTTATTCTGGGGTCTGAGATCAGACTCCAGTGAGTACTAAATAACTTTGTAAACATTAATAAAACTGCCCATATTACAGAAGTGTTCTTTGTGAGCCAGCACTGGCTTTTTAGAAGCTGTATGTCATTCCATCAGCAGTACTGTGAGGCTACATTATGCCTTTATTTATCAATTATTGTTACCCAGGAATCTATTATAGCAGAAAAAAGGAAGCAGTGAGTTCATGCTAAGTGCACATTCCTAATTTTTTGTATTCTCCCTGACTTTTTAAACTCTATTTCCCTGCCATTGTGTGAAAACACATATTATGCACTTTAATGATCTTTTTGGATAGGCATCTGGTTTTGGTTTCTACAGCATATTCACAACTCTGGTTTAAGGCCAAAAAAATGAATTTTCTGAATGCTCGCATATTTGAAGTATTGCAGTGTATCAGGCTAGAAATCATGTTAGTAGATGACAGACCTGGATTACATCTAATACTAATTTACAGCTAACAAAACTGCATTGAATAATTCTCTAACTTTTTGCACTATAGGTTTTGCTTGATGGTGGGTATACTAAGATACAACTCTTATGTTGAACTGATGTTTATATTAATTAATATGCTTCAAATATTTACATGATCAGATATTTCAAATGAGATGTTTCTAAGCCAGAGTTTCTTGTCATGACAAATTCTAATGTAAGTTTTTGCTACAGTCTTTTGATTTTGTTTTGTGGCCAGTCGTGTTGTTTAGGAGGAACTAGACACACTGGGTTTTATTTCCAGTTCAGTTATGCCAGTGCCATATAAGCAGAGTTCTATCTTTTTTGTATTTGTATACATGTTATTAAAATACTCTACACCACTAGCTTTTTCCTCCAGTCACTTTTTTTTTTAATCCTGTTTGTTTTCACATAGGTATAAAAGTTTGCTTATGGAAGTAAAAGCATTTGCTAATTTTCTAGCATTCCTTAAAACATAGCTTGTAAGGCAAAATAATGATTTGTCTTTATTTCTGGTATTTTTCTGTGCCAAATGTGGATGACAATGCTATGGTCATTGTGTCTGTACTTGTAATGTGGCATGCCTACATGCAGAACCAAAATTTCAGTGGCAAGAAAATGTAAAAGTGGCCTTTAAAAGATCAGTTTTATGTTGCTCCTTAGTTTTGGAGGTGTTTTGTTTAAAAAGCTTCCCATTTTGCTCTTCCAGTTTCCTGCTGTGTCAGTTGTCGTCTCCCTACAATCCAAGATCCACATTGTTCAGGATGAACTCAGACTTTGCACAATAAAATCCAGTATCAAGAATATTTTAGAATGGAAAAACTGAAAATATGTTTTAATGCCCTTAGTGTTGTAGTACAGCGAGACTACAATGTAGTACAGCCAGACAAATCCTTTAGATTTAGTAGCTGGTAGAGGGGAATAAATTCAATCCATGGATTACTCACAGAAATGCTGCTGCTTTTTTTGGAGTTTATTTTTCAGCTTAATATACAGAGGGAGCATTTATGTGCTTCCATGTCACTAGACTGCCAGGGTAGAGGAGCACCTCTCGGTGCCATCGCAGCTTGCAGCATGGAGTTCTGAATCCATGGGAGATGAGGCCCAGTGGCGCAGTGCTTTGTTTACACAATTCCAACAAGATCAGGAATGCTTGCTCTTTCTGGGGTCTGTAAAAGTCCGCATTTTATTTGTGGAAAATTATTTTTTTTTTTCTGTTTTAAGATAAATTCTTTTTCTTGCTGTCAGCACATGAACTCTGCTATTGAATGATTCAGCCTGAATGCACATACTGTCAACAGCTAACAAGATGAAGAATATTTTTTCTATGTGCTAACAGCAATAATCGGCACTCCCAGTAAGATTAGATCTTATGGGGAAGCACTTTTTTGTGGGGGTCTGTAAGTGCTCTTCCAGTGCCAGCAGTTTTGTGCCTGATCCAGAGAGAGGGTTTCCTTTCACAGATGCGCTTTGCCTATAATTGTCTGGGGAGAGAGTAAAAGTGCAGTTTCTAATCTCCCAGAAAAAAAAAAGTAATGGCAGTGTTTTAAATTATGAAAATTTAATTCAGCAGAGGTACAATACAGCAGGTACGTAATCTGCCCCCATCTGTCACTTTTCTAGTTTGTGAAGTGAATTTGAGTCTGTTAAATGACTTGGGCTCCTCCTATTGTACTTTCTTCTCTGTTTCACTTTTAGTACTATTGATAAGCAGTTCTTATATTGACAGGTCATTTATTATAAGAAACCATCTGTTGGTGCCCTTCTTGGTGGGAAATACATTTGCGTCTTCGTCTATAGGAAGTCAAAACTGACAAATGTGTCTGAAAATCAGATAGGTGCTGCTAGTGTAATACTGCTGTTTCATCCTCAGGGAGTCTTCCAGGGCCCTGGGGGTTCCACAGCGCAGACCCCAGAGCTCCATGTTACCAAAACAGCCTTTCTGCAGGTTCACAGAATCACAGAATGGCAAGGGTTGGAAGGGACCTCGGGAGATCATCTAGTCAGCCCCCCCCGCTAAAGCAGGTTCACCTAGAGCAGGTGTCACAGGACATCATCCAAGCGGACTTTGAATATCTCCAGGGAAGGAGCCTCCACAACCCCCCTAGGCAGCCTGTTCCAGTGCTCTGTCAGCCTCAAAGTAAAGAAGTTCTTCCGCATATGCAACTGAAACCTCTTCTGCTTCAGTTTGTGCCCATTGCCCCTTGTCTTGTTGCTGGGCACCACTGAGAAGAGTCTGGCTCCATCCTTGTGACATCCACCCTTAAGATATTTGTATGTGTTGATGAGATTCCCCTCTCAGTCTTCTCTTCTTCAGGCTAAACAAGCCCAACTCTCTCAGCCTTTCCTCATAGGGGAGATGTTCCAGTCCCCTAATGATCTTTGTTGCCTTCCTCTGGACTCTTTCTAGGAGTTCCTCGTCTTTCTTGAGCCAGGGAGCCCAGAACTGGACAAGAGTACTCCAGGTGGGGTCTCACCAGGGCAGAGTAGAGGGAGAGAATAACCTCCCTTGACCTGCTGGCCACACTCCTCTTAATGCACCCCAGGATACCATTGGCCTTCTTGGCAACAAGGGCACCCTGCTGGCTCATGGTCAGCTTGTTGTCCACCAGGACTCCCAGGTCCCTCTTGGCAGAGCTGCTTTCCAGCAGGTCAGCCCCCAGCCTGTACTGGTGCATGGGGTTTGACCTCCCCAGGTGCAGCACTCGACACTTGTTGAACTTCATCAGGTTCCTCTTGGCCCAACTCTCCAGCCTGTCCAGGTCCCACTGAATAACAACACAGCCTTCTGGCGTATCAGCCACTCCTCCCAGTTTTGTGTCATCAGCTAACTTGCTCTGTCCCCTCATCCAGGTCATTGATGAATAAATTGAACAAGACCGGGTCGAGTACTGAGCCCTGGGGAACTCCACTAGCTACTGGCCTCCAACTAGACTCTGCACCACCAGTCAAAACCCTCTGAGCCCTGTCATTCAGCCAGTTCCCTATCCACCTCACTGGCTACTCATCCAACCCACACTTCCTGAGCTTCCCTGTGAGGATGTTATGGGAGACAGTGTCAAAAGCCTTGCTGAAGTCAAGGTAGACAACATCCACTGCTCTCCCCTCATTTACCCAGCCTGTAATGCCATCATAGAAGGCTATCAGATCGGTTAGGCATGATTTCCCCTTAGTGAATCCATGCTGGGTCCAGTGTTGCGGTCCTACTTCTTGATCTGCTTCCACCACACAGAATCTGGAACTCCACCATCTCATGGTCGCTGCAGCCAAGGCTGCCCCCTACCTTCACATCCTCAACCAGTTCTTCTTTATTTGTCAGCACAAGGTCCAGTAGTGCTCCTCTTCTTGTTGGCTTCTCCACCACCTGCATCAAAAAGTTATATCATCAATGTTCTGCAGGAACCTTCTGGTCTGTGCATACTTTGCTGTGTGGTCCTTCCCACTGCTATCAGGATAGTTAAAGTCTCCCATGAGAACCAGGGCCTGTGAGTGTGAGCGCTCATCGCTTCTTTTTATGGTGTCCGCTGTGTGTTGCTGGTACAGTTTCTCCCTGCAGGGGACTTTGCAGACCTTGCTCATGGGTGTCCTCAGCCGTTAAGGCTTCATATCTGTTTCTGGTTGAGATGGTGGAGGGTGCAGGCTGATGTGGAGTCCTGCTTTTGTGAGTCACCAGGTTCCAAGGTGCCTCCTTCTCAGTGGAGTCTGCCACAGGAGCATGGTTCTGAAACCACCTGTCTATCTCTGCCTCAGCTCCTCTAATACTGCGCAGTCTTTCAACCGTTTCCTGCAGTTCGGCCACCTGACATAACAGGTCATCAACCTGTGCGTATCTTGCACAGGTACTTACCTTTTCATTGGGGTTTGGGCACTTGCTGCAACCCACCGCCTGTACTGATGTTTCCTTTCTTGCCAGATCCGTCTGGGTGGATGCATCGGATGTCTCAGGGGCTTTCTCTGTAGGAACAGTGGTTTTAGCTCTGAGGCAAGTGCCCACCATGTTGCCAGAGATCAAAGCACTTCCCTGGGCTGGAGACCTAGAATTGGGGTGCAGACCCCCTCCTGCACGCCCTGCCTGCACGAACTGCCGCGCCGCACTCCTGGTCACTCGCGCTCCCTGGGGGCCATTTAAATCTCCCACCGTTGCTTCTGGCAATGCCCACGCCGCGTCGCACGTCACCCCCCACTCGCGAGAGCTGCCGGCTCCTGACGGGTCCCTCTGCTCACTCTCGGGCCTCCCAGGCTCGAGGAACCGCCTTGCCTGCCCCAAACTAGCGCAGAGCCACAGGACTGGCCTTGCCGCCGCTGTGCTCCTCGCCGACTGAGGTTGTCACGTGCCAGTCTGCACTAATGGCAAAAATGAGGATTTTCTGAGCCGTCCTGGGATCGATGCAATGATGTCAGATCAATCTAACCAGCACCAGTGAGGTATTGTAAGAGCACAAACACCTCGGGTATCCATCAGGCTGGGATGGGGGCAAAACTAAAAATTATTTCATAATGTCATTAGCCTATCACCTTCTACTCCTGAAGTGTGAAGTGTCCTTGCCAGAGCCTGAAAACCAATGGTGTCAGGACTGGCCCATTTAAGTCTGGATACAGTTGGCTTCACAAAGGTCACAGAAGTTTAACCTTCACAAAAGGTTAATCCTTTTGCATCCCTTCAGTATCTATCTCACTTGTCATTACTAGGAGGTTAGCAAGCTGCTTAAGCCTTTTGAGCCTCCTGGGGCAGGCTGTGATGTCAACTTTGCAAAGCTCTGACACCTGCTGCTTGGTCATCCCCAAGGCTTTTCTTTTCACCGTGCTTCTGAGCCCCTCACAGCACTACTCAAAGCCTTTGTTGATATGGCAGCATTTTTTTTCTAGGTGGGACACAGGGGGCTTGCATGGTCTATGGGGATCCAGGGTATTAGCAGAGGTGCTGCAAGTGGCTGCGGGTGGGCCTGTGTGGGCAAGGAAGCAGCATGCAGGAGAGATCAGCAGTGTTGAGTTGTCGGCAGAGGCACCTCATGCTATGTGCTTGGGCTGGTGTTGCCCAAACTGCTTTGCCTGCCAGCGTGCAGCTATCCCCACAGTCTGTACTCTCAGCTGAGGCACCACATGTGTCAGAGAGCAGCAGGACACAACCAGAGCAAAGCTGCAGTGCAGACTGGGTGGCACCAAGGCCTGTAACCTTGCAGTGTGTTTCAGGAATTTCTCTTCAGGAAATCTCTGCTTTCCTTGTTGACTGGGCAGGAGTGTCCAGGGCTCAGTAGCCTGAGCACGGTGTACTGCACTACTGTCAGTCAGGGTGCTCACCTTAAAGGAAGACATGCTTTTGTCCTCCCTGACAAGAGGCACCGGCTCTGCTGTGGCTTCTCCTGCGCTAGGTAAAGCCTCTGAGAATTCCCAGCAGTGGTGTTGCTAAGTCAGGATCAGCCTTACTGCCAGAAACGTGCAGTCACACTGTGTCACTCCCTGCTCCCATTGGCTGCAAGGGACAGGACAGCCTGCTCTGTGTCTCACTGGCTCTGCTCTTTGCTACGCCTACAGCTCTTTGCTGCTGCAATGCTGTGCAGAGCTGCTGAAAAGACTCGGTCGTGGGAAAGGAGTCCTCATCCATGTGAGGACTGCTGGTGCAGTGAGGCAGGTGGAACTTGGAGACCTGCCAGACAGCCTCACCTGCAGACCCTTGTGCTGAACTCAAGTTCAGGCTCAAGATAGGGTCATGAGAGTCCCGTTTACCCTGACTAACCTTGGGGACACTCGGACAGACAGTACTCCCATTCTTTGTCCTCACATGCTGCCTCAGGTCCATACAAGTGCTAGAAACAGGTGAACTGATGAGGATGTTAAAAAAGTAGTGGAAGTAACCTGGATGCTAAACAAGCTCTCAACAAATGAGCACTACCCTGGGATGGCAAAACTGCTTTTTTAATTCTAGGTGGAGTACAAGGTGTTGTATTTCTTGTATGCATGTCTCTGCCTGAGTGTCCCCTTTCACAGCCTGGGGGAGGCGGATGAGAACAGCAAGATGGTCCCTGTCCAAAGATATTTTGCACATGAAATCATTATGAAATGCGGGATGAGGTAAAAACGACAACACCTGCGGTCATTTTTGTCATGAATTTGTCATAGTTGTTGCTAGCCATGAATGCCTAACTCACAGGTATCCCTGAGCTGGATGGCAAGAGCAGACTAAAAAAGGCAGGAGCATAGGCTCTGAGGAAATTGTCCTAGGTTTAATTTTGGCTTTGCAAAGGCTCACCAGTGCAAGCCCCTGGATGACCCCCACAGCAGCAGTCCTATGGAGGTGCATTGCGCTCCTTTTGGCTCACAAGTACACCTGCGAGTCAAGTTTGGACAGCCAGGCAACAGCCTTGAGCTGTTTGGCCAGCCACCATGATGCCAGGGAAGAGATGAAAGGCTGATGCCCAACAAGAAACCCAGTCATAGCAGTGCTTCAGACTGCATCCTTCAGCCTTCCCCTCTGACAGTGCAGGGCAGCCAGGGAGCTGCACACAGCCTGGGACAAAAGGAGACATTTTTCGCCAGAGACCAACTGCAGCCCAGAGACCGAAACAACATTTTATTCTCATCATTTCCACACACTCCAGAAACTGTGCCTGATCTACATTCAAAGTACTGTGGTCACACTGGGCAGATCCCCCCGCCTTCACTTCTGACTGAGCCTGGAGACATTGTCAAGGCACATCCCAGGCCCAGAAGCTGTCCCCAGCCCAGAAGCCTCATATGCTTTTGCTTCCAGTTCTGCAGGCTGCTAAAAGCAGGGTGATTCACTGACAAGAGAAAAGCCTGGGATGTTAGATGGTTATGCTTTGCCTTTCAAGCCAAGGGTGTCTCAATTTGCCAAGAAATATGTGGGCTCTGCTAAGCCCCTGTAGTGGGACAGGGGCTGTGCTGCCTGGGTTAGTACCATGCACACGGCAGTCAGAGCCCACGGGAATCAACAGGAGCCTTTCCATTCAGGCCAGTGGGCTCAGAACCAGGCTTCTGTAACCAGCCCCTTTGCATCACCTTCTTTAATTTCTGTTTTCCCTTTGCAAGGAAGCTTGGATCACAGTGTCTGCCTGCCTCCAGCCCTGTGCAGGTCCCTTGCACACAGCAGCAGGGAAGGAGCTTGAGACAAGACATTCGCACACCGCATCCAGCCAGGTGGGCACTTGCTGATAGGCTTTCCTGAGCTGTGTGGGTGTTTCTTGTTCATAAAGCTGCAGAACTTAATAAGCTACTTAAGTCTAGCACAAGCTTAACTTCAAGGAGCCCTTAATCACACCCAGTCTTTTTCCCAGAGGAGCAATGCTGCTCTGCATCTCTCCAGCATGAGCAGGAGGTGCTTGCTTGCTTCTCACCAGCTCACTCATGCTCAAAGAACTCATGGCAAGCAGCGGTGACCATCGCAATGAAGGCTACAAACTCCTGGAAGTCACACTCCACGTCCCCATTGCTGTCCAGCGCCTCCATGACTTTGTCCACAGTCTCTTGGTCTTTGATCTCCTGAAGGGATAGAAACAGACAGCCAAAGCTGGGGAGAATCAGAGTGAGGCACAAACAGTAACATGTCCTTGCCTCTCAAGTGCTCTCATGGCTGAATCTCTGTTCAGACACATCCTGAAACAAACCCCATTGCTGTTTTCTGTCTGTGTTGGGGCATTGCCCTACACCTGCAGCAGCATCTGCGCAACTGTGGCCCTCCTGAAGCAGGAATCACAGCCAGAGCTGTGCTGCTGGGAAGGGGCATATTGAGCTCCTTGGGGTAAGGATGTTCCTCCTTCCCAGGGGAGGAAATGTCCTTAGTATCCAACCCAAACCCCAGCCCCCAGTGCAGGCTGTTGCCCTTGTCCTGCCACCTGCTGCTCCTGTGGAGCTGGAGGAAAGTGTTTAACACACTGCTGCATGAATAAACCCTTTCCCCTGCACTTGCTTCCCATGGTAGATGGACTTAGCGGAGCCCAGCAGCTGCTTGACACAGCTCCCTGAGCCCAGCCAGGTATGCTGCGTGGAGGGCAATACTTACGCCAAGGAAATGGGTCAACTCATTGTTAATGAGTTCCTTCAGTTCTGATTTCTTCAGCTTGTGCTTGTCTCCCTCCTTCCCTGAGTACTGGTGGAAAGCATCAATGATGGCGATCATGGCCTTCTCCAGCTCAGACATGGTGTCACAGCGTGGCCCTGAGGTCAGAGGAGTGATGGGTGCATTAGCCTGGGCAAGCTCCAGCAGTGCCTTTTGCTTTGCAAACACGCCACCACAGGGCTCCCTGCACACGTCACCAATGCCAGACCCTGCACTCAAAGCATGCTGCTGAATAGCACCACTAGCAGCTCTCACTTCAAGGAGGAAGATCCCAAGAGACCTTGGCTCTGCCTCCGGGAGCTCTTGAGGAAAGGAGAGCCACAACATGAGAAGTACCCAGTATAGGACTGGCACATGCTGGACCTGACACATCCCCTGGAACTGATGTGAGTTTAGCACCTTGGGTCTCTGTGTGGGCAGAGAGTAGGAGAGAAAATGAGGAGAGGCTGCAAAGCCCCGGCGGCTTCCAGCAAGGTGTTCCTGCATTGTCCGTATGTGCTGACCTGGCTAGCAGGTAGCATGTTGTCACTTATCTTCTTTGTCTCCTGCTGCTTAAGCCATTGCTTTGTTCTCCTTGCTTGGGAGAGGGGCAGGCAGAGGTTACGTTTCTGCACATGGAGCATCAGAAAGGTTTTGTTGTCACCTCTGTTTACAGGTGCTCTCGCCTCTGCCTTTCTTGCCTGCAGGCCTGTCTCCAACTGAGCAGTCAGGGGAACCCAGGCAGGAGCCAGTTTTGATGAGTGCCAGCGGGACAAAATAATCACATCTCCTTTAACCTCCCTGCTCCCACACTTGATCTGGAGACCCTCTCAGGAACATTAATAACTGGGATTGCAGCATTTCCTGCAGATTCACAAATGGACAAACCAAAGAGCCTCTGACTGAAAAGGGAGAGATGTGAAACTGCTTTCCCAAAAGCTGTTGAATGCACTGAAGCTGGGGGGAAAAAAAGCGCCTTATTTTCTGGCACTTGGTTAATTCATACCCCACAGATAAATGTCTCCTGCCCTGTGACCTGGCTTTTGTTTCACCACCACATGGCTCAATGCTGAAGGCACTAAATTTCATGCCATGGCTTGACTCTCAAGCTGACACCCTCCCCTGAGGTGTCCAAACTGCAAGACTCTTTCCAGTCAGGTAGGAAATATTCCTGGAGTACTTCATTCATGCATCCTAATAGCCTTTTACATGCTTGTGCCCTGCCTGCGCCAGGCTGAGCTAGCTGTCAGCAGCACTGCCCGCTTCCCATCTGCAAGGCTGAGGGTTTCAGCTTCCCACTGGCCTCTGCTGTAGTGGCAGAGCTCGCAGCTGCGATGGTGCCCCTGCGCCACCCCTCCCACCGCAGCAGCCCATCTGCTCCAGCAAGCAAGCTCCTGCCCCAGCATCCCCCAGCCCCTCTCACCTCTCTGCTGGCGGCGGGGCTGTGGCACAGCAATGCAATGCGGCTGGGTGCCCTGGGGACTCGCTGGCTTCTTATGCCGGGGGGGCGGAGAGCCCCAGGCCCTGCCGCAGCACCTGTGGCGCCAATGGCAGCTGGAGGCTGGGGTGTCTGGAGCCAAGCACTGGGTCTGCACTGCGCAGCGATGCACACAAGGACGCATTGACTCACTGCCAGCCCACAGCCGTGGATGTGGGAGCTGTTGCAGAGAAAGCCGCTGTTGTGAGAAAAAAAATAATTGGGCAGTCATCAGGAGAGGCAGGCTGGCGGCAGCGCCTGTGCTGCTGCTCTTGTCCACAGTAAAGGGAATGAATTGTGACCAACGGCTGGATACATGTGGTCAGAGCTGGGCTAGGGACCCCAACACCTGCCCCAAGGTGCATCACAGCCAGGGCCAGGCATGAGAACGATGGAGCCCCCCTGTGGGCTCTGTCACAGGGCTGCATCACCCTCTGGGGAAGAGGGTCTCTTTGCATGTGACGGGAACGTCCATCGCAGCAGGTTGTGCCTGCAGCCTCTTGTCCCTTAGCTTTGCACCTCTACAGTGGGTCTGGCTGCGTCTTATCTGCCACCCCATCAGTCTGGGGGACAGCAGGACCTTTTGTGGGGGTTTTGCGATTGTATCAGGCTGCAAGTGGGAACCTCCTGCCTGCGTGTACCTGTGTCCATGTATGGCTGTGCAGCTGGCACTGTTCAGAAGTCCTCTGCCGGCCACAGCAGTCACCACGGGCATTAAATGCACTTTTATTTAAACCAAAGAGCTGTAAGTTTTCCTTTCCACCAGAGACTTCCTTGCAGGCTGGTGCACGGATCGATGGAGGTGATGCTTTGTGGGGGCCAACGGGCAGCCCGGCAGGCAAGGTGGATCTAGAGGGGAGCAGGTGACAAGCAGCAAGAACAGCAGCTTGTGGTGGTGCCGGACAAGTGGGTGGTTGATACAGATGGACATGCACCCAAGGCACATTGATGGCATTTCATGGCCCAGTGGTGGTCATTCGCCCTGAGGACCCGCCTTCGCACGGGTGGCCATGGGCCGTGAGCCCAGGCTCAGCTCCGCAGGCATTGTCCTTGGCCCCAGCGGCCCCAGCTGCACAACTGGCTCTGATGCTTGGCCCCAGGGCATGCTGTCGTGTTTGCTGCCCCTGGTTCCATGGGGACCTGCTGCTGCATCTGTCCCCACGGGTGTCCCTCTCCCTGTAGCATCTCCTGTCATGGGGATGTCATCACCCTGCCAACAGCCGCGACCTGCCTCCTCTGCCCTGCGTGTCTGTCCTGAGCACAGGAACACTCCCAGCTTGCTTCCCCAGGCATGCCGTCCCCCCACAGACCCTGACAGCCACCCTGTCCCTTTGGGTGACAGCACCAACCCCAAAAGCGACTGTCCCCACAGCTGTGGATCCCCAAAGCCTGGGCATGTGGCTTCAGTTGATAATGGAAATTATAAACCAACTCCAGCCAAGCCAGGGTGCCCAGCCCATGTCCTTGTGGACCACGGGGGGCTGGAGACACCATGTCTTGGTGCAGCACCAGCCATGGGGATGATGCAGCCTGGCCCACAGGCACCCGTGCTCCCCCTGCCCCCGTGCTCCCCAGCTGCCCTGTGGCTCTGCCAGGCGCTGCTGCCTCAGGAAGCCGCATTCGCTCACTGAACCTGCAGAAAAGTTCCCAGCAGAGGCAATGCTGGTTGCCCCCTCTGAAAGCACCACTGCCAGTAACACCCCCAGTTGCTGTCCCTTGCACGGCTCTCCCCGAGTGGTGCTAATTACCTGTGTTTCATTGCTCTTTCCCAAGAATGAGATGGGATGAGCTGTCTGCTATTACTGATGTGGCATGTTTCCATTTACACCTTTTTTCACTGCAGCACAGGATCAGTAATTGCTTTATATCTTAGGCCTTGGTTGAATTTCAGACTCAGTGCAACTCGAAACAGATCACCACTGTTGCCAAGAAGACAGTTTGGCAATATCCAGAAGTGTCATTTTATTACCATGGTCAGCACCTGCTGAGAAAAGTGAGGTGTATAAGAGCCTTATACATATGCTTTGGGGGTAGGATGAAGGTCTGGATGTCTTTAAAAATGTCCCTTTGAAGAGACAAAACCAGGTTGCTGGACAAACACAGTCCCTAGCAGTTCCTGCGCTTCCCAAAGCTACCATGGAAGTGATCACTGAGATACCACCTACCATGTTACTTAACAGTTTTTCACACACCAGTGTGAAAGAAAACCATTCACATTCATAATTTGGAAGCTTTTGTAACAACTTCAAACATAGTTTAGGGAAAAATTAATTTCCCCAGCGTTAAGCTTGTGTATGCTGACTCTAAAGGTAGACCTGACCACTGAAATTCTAACATTTATGGCATTGCAAACTGCAGCAGTTATCTGTGCTCTCATTGGACTGGCAGGGATAGGGGGCATGCTTTTAGGCAGTGGTGGGGACAGTTTGACAACAACCTTGCAATATTCAATTTTTTCCAAGGCTATTCGTATTCACTTACGAGCTGGCTATAAATGGGGCTCACTGTCAGCAGGGAAGAAACAGTATTTTTCTCCATTGGTAGCAATTTGATCTGGTAGATGTCTTAGCTCAGTCATTAGCCAAGAAATGCATCAAAGCACACCATTTCTTGTCAGAGACAAGGTCCTAGCTTGGCCTCGTTAAACCATTTTCTGATGTTATTCTTGAAACTGACATTTTCTTAAAATGGAACAGAAAAAATAGCATTTGGCAGATCAAAACCTGAACAATCTTGAAATTCTCTTTCCTGATTATTCTTACTGTACATTTCACCTCAAATCATTCTGACTTCTATATTTTACAGGCAATGATCTGGAATGATCTGCTGCACTGGCTGATAGGGTGGGAAAGAGCAGCAAGATCAGGTGTGAACACCAGAAGCTTTGGCTCTTTCCTGCCTCTGCTAATGAGCAGCTCCAGGTGACTTCCCTGATTCTTGTCCAGGCTCATATCCTACAAACACTGCTCTCCTGGACTGTGTCGTCCCTGACCCATCCTGTGAAAGTCCAGGAGGTCTGGGCATAGGTGTGAGGCTGAGGGCTGGCTGCACTTTTAGTGCTGCCCAAAATGCCGGTTCCATTATTTTAAAATTCATTGTCCTGATCTTTGAACAGGAGAGTGTAACCTTGGGGCTCCTTTCCTCAGGGTCACCACTTCCTTGCCAGAGCTTTGGGCTGGTGTGTTGAAAGAAACAGAAGGTTTTACAGAGCCCATGGCCGAGCAAAACACTTCAGCCCTCTGCCTGTCTCCCTCTCCCCAGTAAAACACAATGTAGGCTCTTCATAGCAGGCTCAGGGAGAAAAGCCAGTGTATTTCTTTGTCTCTCTGGTGTATGTGGCACCAGGCTCTGCCAGACCACGAGACAAAGGCTGGCAGTCATTGAACTGGGAGAAAAAAGTAATGAAAGCAGAGGAATTTGGGTGGGAGGGGGAAGAAGCTGCTTCTGCCTCCACAGGGCTGTGCTCAAAGTCCCAGCACACAGAGCAGTGTTGCAGAGAACAGGTTCCCCAGCTCTATGCCATGATTTCTGTGCCTGTTTCTGAATCCACAAACACAGCAGCCAGAGATGAGCTAGGGTCCTCATGGGAAGCTTCAAATGATACCTAGAAACAAGAAACATGAGG